CCCCAAAACCCCAAAACCCCAAAACCCCATGAAACTTTAAACTTGAATCGCAGATAATAAATTATAACTCATTCCCTCATTAAATCATTTAGCCTTTTCCTATTATCAATAGTGTAATTGATCTTTAACTTACTGCTACTTTTGGTACTCAATCCATAATTACTATTAACAGAGGATAGACCTCTTGCTCCTATATACTTCTTTTCTGGGTTAATGCTTAACCCACTGCTAATGCCATCAGTCCTTTTCTCATCTATCTTACTCAATGTACTTATACTAGGAAGCAGTAGATTAGATCTTGGTGAATGATTCCTTGATTATAAGGTATCTGAGCTTATATTCAGCTTTTTAATTGAATTTGGATTAACCTTATATTCCTTAAATCTAAGGATCTCTGCTACACTCATATCAGGAGACTTCTTGTCAGTTACTTAGTAAATAGGCAAGCGTAAGTTATTTCCTAAGCTAGAACTATTAATGTTGTTGCCTCCACCAAGAGTATTGGTATTGCTGTTTAAATTAGGGTTCAAGTAGTCAATACTACTGTTGTTTAAAGAGGATTTTCTCTAGGTAGAACTTACAATCTTAGATAGAAATTCAGAGGCAGACTCTGAATCACCCTTACTCAACTTAGGAGTTTTTAAAGAGGATAGCTTCAAGGCTCCATCTTCTTCTTTGATTATTTAAAATTATGGCTAATCAAGTGTCATTGGTGTAAACTTATATGAGAGGGACTATTTGCTATTTGATTTATTCAAGATCTTACCAAGTCCTCTTTATTTAAGTTACTTGATCTCTTTTTGCTATTTGATTATTACGTTTCTATAAGTTTGGTCTACAGTTTAGAAATATCCAAATAGCTCTTGCTTAATGATACTTTTCTTCACATTGCTTGAGAAGATGTCGTTTAGAAAGTTATTAAATCTTGTCATATTGCCATCATTACTAATTGATGTTTGATCCATAATTGATATGTTTGAGATGTTATTAATGTTATTAAAGTTCTACTGAATATCATTTAGTGTCTCACTCTAAAGTTTTATACTAAGATCGAGGATTTAATCAACACTTTGTTTATTCTTATGCTGATCTAATTCATCCTTAAGTTTTCTAACCTAGTTTCTCAATTATTCGTTATCCCTTTCTAAGACCTTTATTTTTCTTATGTCTTCATAAGCCTTTTCCTTATAACTGGTATTGTCTGCTTGTAACTTCTGGCAAACTTGCTTAAGATCTTTTGCTCTTTTCTTTATTCTTTCCTTATGTATTTCTAAATCCAAGCGTTTTTCCTCTTCTTATTTAAGTTAAATAATAAGTGCTTCTATCTTCAAGTCTCTTTTGTCTTTTTCTTAAAGTTTTTAATTCAATTAATCAATTAACTCTTTGATTTCCTCTTCCTTTTTACCCATCCAGACTCTATAGCCCTGAAGAAATTCTTACTATTGCTTCTTAATGACCAAAGCTAGTTTCTCCTCTAAACCTTCAATATTTTCATTCAGCTTGGAATTGTATGATGAGATATGCTATATATTTTCTTAGGTATGTTCCTCTAGGGTTTTTAAAAGATTCTGGGAGATCGTTGAGTATTTATGATTAGGCCCCTCAATCTAATAATGATGAAGAATGGCATCTCCAACTTATAGATTTTGAGGTGACAAATTACGATTATGTTGATCAACTTCTGATTAGTCATCTGAAAACGCATCTTCTCCACCTAAAGTCAGAAATGTCTTTCTAAATTAAGTTTAATCCATTTAATATGATTTTAACTTCTGAAATCAATTAAAAATTATATTAGCAAACTTATATTAAAAAGATTAATTTAATGTCAATGTAAAGTAGCTCGAAAATAGATCTTCACACTTCTGTGACTAAGGATTTGCTTCAAAAACAGCTCACCTCAGATTCAGTAAATGAAGCTTAAACTTGTTCAACTGTTGAAGATTTTAAACTTCTTGGAAAACTAGGTACTTATTCGAATTTGTAATATGTTTACTCTATTAGGTGATGGAGCTTATAGCTAAGTTTATAAAGTTAAAAGAATCCAAGATGGATAAATATACGCCCTTAAAAAAGTAAGACTTAATCATCTGTCAGAAAAAGAAAGGGAAAATGCCATTAATGAAGTCAGAATTCTTGCTTCAATCAAACATGTAAATGTGATTTCTTACAAGGAAGCGTTTATAGAACCAACAACCCAATCACTTTGGTAAGCTTTGCTTTTAAAATTCTAACACTAATAATGAATAATTATAATCTATGACTAAAAAAGCTAGGCTTTTCAGAAATTAACTTAAATTTAACTATAGCATAGTCATGGAATTCGCAGATAATGGAGATTTATTCTAAAAGATAACAGAAAATCAGGCAGCAGGAGCAACTTATAATGAACAGGATATTTGGAAAATATTCATATAGATAGTCAGAGGACTAAGGGCACTTCATGATCTGAACATTATGCATAGAGATCTGAAATCAGCCAATGTGTTTCTAAACAAAGATCTAACTGTGAAATTAGGAGATATGAATGTTTCAAAAATAGCAAACGGAAAGGGACTTAACTACACATAGACTGGTACACCTTACTATGCAAGCCCTGAGGTATGGAAAGATGAGCCGTATGACTAAAAAAGTGACATTTGGTCTCTAGGTTGTGTGCTTTATGAGATGATTGCATTAAGGCCTCCATTCTAAGCTAATGACATGAATGGATTGTATAAAAGAGTTATCCGAGGTTAATATTAGAAATTGCCAAAATAATATTCAGCAGAACTCGCTAATATGGTATCATTGCTACTCTAGGTTAATCCTTAAAACAGGCCAGATAGTTAGAAAATTACATAGTTGTCCGTATTTTCTAAAAAGTTTAATGAATTCTTTCCTGATATTGCTGAGCAGGATAAGAGTGAACTTCTCAAGACAATTAGAATCCCCAAAAATATAATGTATCTTAGCAATAGACTTCCACTAGCAAACTACAATTCAAACATCAAGAGACATTAGCAGATTAGCAAAATGTATAAAAGCACTTAATAAAGATCCTCAATTAGAAGCATAAATAAAGATAATTCTATAACAATAGAGCAATAAGATGTGAAGTTACCAAATCTTGAATCTAATATGAAGTCAATTGTAAATAAAAAAGCAAGCTATGAAGATATCCTAACAAGATAGAATAGTAAAATTAAGTTGTAAAATAAAAACGATCAGGACATGATTCAAATTGAGTACCAAGACAAGAAAAGTGCTCTAATGAGTTTAGATCATTCTCTAAATGAATCAAGAATCAATAGTTTGTCGCCGAAATAGCATTAAAGCTCATCTAAGAAAAAAGGGAATCTAATTGTTTCTAATATAAATTCCCATAAAAACAGTATCGTTTTAGATGATTAGCCTATGATTATTGCTTAAAGTTCTGCAAATTTACATTCAAATCTTGATACTCCATACGATGAAGATATCTCTGATTAGCTAAGAGTAAATTAGTTACCTTAAATATAAAGTAGAGCTTTATAATAAAACAGGTATCGAGAAGAAGGTAACTCATTAAGCTAGTAAAGTAGCCTCAATTAAAAAAAGACAATATCTCTTGTTAAAAGAGATAACTCTTTAAAAAGACTATAAGCTGAGAAATAGAGTGATAGCAGCCTATTTCTATACAAAAATGATAATTAAAGTTAAAACTAAGATAGCGTGAAAGTATCACAGCAAAGATTGCAAGATATTTACAATATGAGATATTAGAAGCCAACAATTAATAATCTGATTCCTTTTTAACAAGAAAGGAAAACTAGAATGAATGATATAAGCATGAATAAACAGAATATGTAGTTAGGCTAGATTTTAGTTTCAAGCCAGAAAATGAAGAATTAGTAAAATCATTCTTAGAATCGAGAATCAGAAGCATAACTTCAAAGAATACAGTTGAAGGAGTAGATTAAATCTATCAATAATTCAGTCAAGTCTACATTATTTCATAATGGAGTGCCAATAAACTATAAGCCCAAAAAGAACACAGTAAATTATGAGGAAAAATTGTTGAAGATAGCGAATGTGTACGCAAGAGGGCAAGGATCTATGAGTCCTTTGCAAAATACAAAGCCTAAAAAAGAGTATATAAATCATAGTATGGTGATTAATGAGAGTGCTCATAATTCGAGCACCAAATAGTTACAGGATAGATATCATTCAGTTTCGAACTCTATCAGTAATGTTAAACTACCGTCACTTAATAATAGATCTTTGATTAGCAATGATATTACTTCCATCGGTGGAGTAGATTTATCTTAGATTGAAGTCTTTAATCCATACGAAAATAGATCTTCTGTTAGTAATGCTTAGTAATCCTAAAAACTCTTGAAGAAAGGATAAAAATAATACTTGCAAAGCTCCTCCAGCAAAGATTAGTTACCCTTACCATACTAAAGCCAGCACTAGTAAAATCTTAAAAAATAGAGATAGTATTTGTTAATGAACTAGAAAAACAATAATCTTAACACTAGCTTCAAAAGCACAGGAGCATCTTTGACAAAAAGTGAGTCCTCTAATGTGATATAAGTTAATCTTAAGCCAGGGGAAGGAGAAATTATTGAGACTCAAGATTTAAAAGCCCCAGTTTTGGTTATATGAGTAAGAAAATAGTAAATTTATTTCAATTTTGATACAATTGCCACTTAAAGTAATATGACGGGGTTTTGGGGTTTTGGGGTTTTGGGGTTTTGGGG